ATGCCTACTTTATCTTTGTTTTGCTTTGGTCGCTTCTTTTGTCCTTCTAGTTTCATGTGTTAATGTGATGGGTCCCCAGCGCAGTTTTTTAGAGAGCTCTTTGTAACAATTTTCTTAGGGTAGGATCATTTTGAGATTGATAGATTTTTCCTTGGTGTAGGAATGTTGAGTGCAGCTGCGTCCCTTGGCATGATTCTGCTGTGGGATGTGGATGGTGGCCTCACGCAGATTGACAAGTACTTGTACTCCTCTGAGGACTACATCAAGGTTGGTCTGGGCATAGCCTGATAATGGGGACATTCTCCTACCATGTTCTAGGGCCTCAAGGCCTCCCTTTCACTGGTAAGATCTCTCTGTTTTCAACTCCAGTTAAGGTGGAAGCTACAATGAAGTCCATGTTGTATCCTTTGCGGTGAGGAAGGTACAGTAGCCTGAGTGAAGAATCTATTTGCATTTTGCAGTCAGGAGCCCTTCTGGCCTGTGGCATTGTGAACTCTGGAGTCCGGAATGAATGTGACCCCGCACTAGCACTGCTCTCAGACTATGTTCTCCACAACAGCAACACTATGAGACTTGGTTCCATTTTTGGGTAAGGCTTCTTGCTTTTTCTGGTAGTACTTAGCCTGTAAGCTTTGTGAAGACAGGAACTGGGTCCTTTTCATCTTTGTTTTGCCAAGACTGCCACCATATCTGTTGAGTATTTGGCTCTTGGTGACTGTTGAAATGATGAATAAATGACCAGTCCTCTTTTTGTTCCTTCTTTGTCCTATCCTTGGTTGTGTGTCGGGGACTGCCTTTCCCTTGCTTTTGCAGGCTAGGCTTGGCTTACGCTGGCTCCAATCGTGAAGATGTGCTAACACTGCTGCTCCCTGTGATGGGAGATTCCAAATCTAGTATGGAGGTGAGGAGAGGCTGTTGGACTTTTAGGGGAGGTAGGGAAGGTGCTCTGTGTCCTACCACTCTGTGATAAGTAATGAAAACTCTGTGTGTGTGTGTGTGTGTGTGTGTGTGTGTGTGTGTGTGTGTGTACGCACACACACGTGTTTATGGGGGTGATATGTGTCACTTCAATGAAATCTCTTGGAACTGGTGGTTCCACCCAGGTGGTGTTGAGGTTAAAGAGGTAACATTTAGGTATTGAGTTCCAGCCCTTGAGGTCCATGAGGAAGTACTCGGCTAGAGTGGAGAGTAGCTTAATCCAGCTTGGGGTGGCTGATTCTCATTCGTTGTTTTAGTCATTGGCCAACCTTAAGTTTTCTTAGTTGTGGAGAGTCATATTAGTAATAGATAAATTTAATATGGTGGCTAAAAGCATAGCTTTAGTCAGAAAGACCTCAGTTCAAATCTTGCCGCCTCTGCTTACAAGCAGTGTGATCTTGGACATGTTACCCAGTCTCTTTAGGTTACATTTTCTTCATCAATGAAAGAATAACAGTAGTAGGACCTGTTTCATGGGGTTATGAGAATTAAATGTTAATAGCGTACAGAGCAGTTGACGTGGCTGATAAATCATAAACATTCAGTGAATGGTTGCTCTTGTTATTTTGACATGCCATCAGAAAGGGATCACTACCTAGTGTGGTTACAGTGGCCTGAAGGAATTGGCTATCTTGAATCGAGGTAGGTATACAACTACTTTAATAACTTACGTATATAATACTGATTCTCCTATTTCTAGGTGGCAGGTGTGACAGCTCTAGCCTGTGGAATGATAGCAGTGGGATCCTGCAATGGAGATGTTACTTCCACTATCCTTCAGACCATCATGGAGAAATCAGAGACTGAGCTCAAGGACACCTATGCCCGTTGGCTTCCTCTTGGACTGGGCCTCAACCACTTGGGTGAGGGGATATCTCTCTGGGCAAAGGCTGACAGTAACTGGATACAGCAGAGGTCTTATGTGTTAGGCTGTGCTGGATGGAAGGAAGTGTCCTCTTGACTCCTTGAATTTGTCCTGTAGGGAAGGGTGAGGCCATTGAGGCAATCCTGGCCGCGCTGGAGGTTGTGTCAGAGCCATTCCGCAGTTTTGCCAACACATTAGTGGATGTGTGTGCCTATGCAGGTCTGTGTCTTTGTGCCTCTCCAGTGACTCCTTACTTCTCTCTTGGACCTTTTTTCAGACTTTTTTTTCCTTTCTCAGTAGTCTTTTATTTATTTATTTGTTTATTTTTAAGTTTATTTATCCTGAGAGAGAGGGAATATGCGCATGTGCATAGGGGAGCAGCAGAGAGAGAGGGAGAGGGAGAATCCCAGGCAAGCTCCATGCTGTTAGCACTGATCCCCATGTAGCGCTCAGTCACAACCGTAAGATCACGACATGAGCCCAAATCAAGAGTCAGCGGCTTAACTGACTGAGCCACCCAGGCGCCCTCTTTCTCTGGTTTGCTTTTGGATTCTTAACTTCTATTACTGGAATAAACTTTTCTTTGGTGCCTTCTCCTTTCTACTCTTTCTCACCCTTACCACCATGCTGCAGGCTCTGGGAATGTACTGAAGGTGCAGCAGCTGCTCCACATTTGTAGTGAACACTTTGACTCCAAGGAAAAAGAGGAAGACAAGGACAAGAAGGAAAAGAAGGACAAGGACAAGAAGGAAGCCCCTGCCGACATGGGAGCACATCAGGTTCTGTGCGCAACTGGGCACTCTCTGAGTCAGGCTCTGAGAAAAGATACCTGTGCAGAGGAGCTGGGTTTGGGTTTGTTTTACAGACCCTGTGGGTGGTGCTGTGTATTGAGACAGGCATTAAGCAGGGTTCTATACATAAGGGTCAGGGTGTGCCCCCACAGGACAGTTTTTTTTTCTTACATGGGACTTGAGTCAAGGGTGAGCTTTTTGTTCCCTGAGCTTACTGGATTCTGGTGCCTCTTCAATTGCAGGGAGTGGCTGTGCTGGGGATTGCCCTTATTGCTATGGGGGAGGAGATTGGAGCAGAGATGGCATTACGAACCTTCGGCCACCTGGTGAGTATCGCATGGAGGAGATTGGAATATCTATTGGTTTTGGTGCTTGGAGTTCCCCAGAGGAGACTTTGCTGATGGGTTTTCTCCTTTCTCCTGGTTGAGAAATAGTCTTTTTGCTATGCCCTTTCTGTAATATTTGATAAAGGCCTCTATTACCTATCAAGTCTCTTCCTATAACTGAGTTTGTACTGCTTTCTGTGATGCTCTTGTTACTCTCTTTTATCACCAGCTGAGATATGGGGAGCCAACACTCCGACGGGCTGTGCCTTTAGCACTGGCTCTAATCTCTGTTTCAAATCCACGACTCAACATCCTGGATACCCTAAGCAAATTCTCCCATGATGCTGACCCAGAAGTTTCCTACAACTCCATTTTTGCCATGGGCATGGTGGGCAGTGGTGAGTATCAGAAAAAGGTCAGAAAAAGAAGTAGCTTGAGGGAATGTTTGAGGCCCATTTTTCAACTCTGTAATGGTTAACATTTCCAGGTACCAATAATGCCCGTCTGGCTGCAATGCTGCGCCAGTTAGCCCAGTATCATGCCAAGGACCCCAACAACCTCTTTATGGTGCGCTTGGCACAGGTAAAGAATAGAACTGTTTTCCTTAAAGTGTGCCAAGGGAGGTATCCGTGGTGATGGAAGGGGGACATGTAGTGAATGACCTCAGGGGACTTTGAGTTCAGCCAGGAGGGAGTGTATGAATGAGTTGGGGTCTTTCTATATGGCCAGGTTAGGTGATGTCTCCTCAGATGTGACCTTCACTTCTCTCTCTGTTGTTGTTGTTTTTTTCCCCCAGGGCCTGACACATTTAGGGAAGGGCACACTCACCCTCTGTCCCTACCACAGTGACCGGCAGCTTATGAGTCAAGTGGCAGTGGCGGGGCTGCTTACTGTGCTTGTCTCTTTCCTGGATGTCCGTAACAGTGAGTTCCTGTCAAGAGTCTCATACAGTGGCACATGACCCTGTCTCCACCCTTACCAGAGCCACCTTATAATTTAGGAGCAAGACTCCAAATTAGCTCTGTACCATTCTGGGTCCCAATGTTCTTTGGGCCTGTGATGGGCCTTATGGAGCTCATCTCCCACAGTTTTGATCTGGCTCAAAGAGATTGTTTTCAAGGATGAAGAGCTGATCCCAGTTTCTGCTCCAAAGTGACTGGGGGAAATTGATGATCAAGTCTGAAGGCTGTGGTAGAGTAAGGTGGGGGCATCTCTGGTTTGTAGTAGGGGTGTATGAGGGGAGGAGTGTTGGTTCAGCTGAACGACTGAGGGATTAGAGAGTCAGGGCTGGAATGGAGTCCCAGGGTTCAGGCCAGGCCTGCCTTGATGCCTCTAACTGTTTGTCCTGTGTTCTTCCCTCAGTCATCCTAGGCAAATCACATTATGTATTGTATGGGCTGGTGGCTGCCATGCAGCCCCGAATGCTGGTTACATTCGATGAGGAGCTGCGGCCACTGCCGGTGTCTGTCCGTGTGGGCCAGGTGAGGGGTTGAACAGACGGGAGGGCTCTCGAACTTGGGGAACGCACACGTACCTGTTTCTCTGAAACTGGTATGGGCACTGGGTTGTTATTGCACTCCCATGTGCACACTCCCATCTGCTACACCCCCATTTCAATTTTCTCACCCTACAGGCAGTGGATGTGGTGGGCCAGGCTGGCAAGCCTAAGACTATCACAGGGTTCCAGACACACACAACCCCGGTATTGTTGGCCCACGGGGAGCGGGCAGAATTGGCCACTGAGGAATTTCTTCCTGTCACCCCCATTCTGGAAGGTTTTGTTATCCTTCGGAAGAACCCCAACTATGACCTCTAAGTAGCTACCAGGGACTCTGAGCTGCTACTGATAGGCCAGCGGGCCATGCTTCCTGTTGTCAGGCGTGTGCACTGCTCTAGACCTTTGGGGGAATTGGTACCTCCTGTTATTTTGTTACTGAGTGAGATAACTTTGTTGAATAAAGACCTTTATCCCTGAGGTCCCTCTATGTCTGTTTTCTGGGGTGTTGTGGCCAGAGGCCAGACTGGGGTGGGGAGTGGATATGAAAAGGCATTGTTTATAGCAACTCTGAGCCGAGGCTAGCAGGGAAGCTGCCCTGAATGGAACAAATTAAACTCCATGCCTTTTTCCCCTCTTTCTTAATCATCCTAAAATAGTGATTCATCTTTAGGGGCATGGACCCCTAAGAAGCTGATAAGTGCAATGGATTGTCCTTCTAGGAAGATTTTAATACCAAAATTTAATACATTTAATACATTTTAATACTGTTACAAATAATATTTTGATACAAACTGTTACAAATAACTTTCTGAGGGGCTGTGTATCCCATCCCCACCCCCACTCCCACCCTGCCAATGCACATCCACCTCAAGCCCATCATTCACTGACTTTGGGTGAAGAATCCCTGTTCTAAGAAGCAGCAGAGTTGGCCTTACTTTCTAACTTCTCTGCTGCTAAATGAAAGGGATATATATATATATATATATATACATATATATATATATATGTATATGTATATACACATTTTTTCTTTTTTGACTGGACTATGTGGCTTTATTGGGGAAAGCCAGGATTACAATGGATTTAAGACTTGGCACTGGGCCCTTCTTGCCAAAGGGGGGCACAATATTGACAAAGCTCTGGTTGTACTGCATCCACTGCTTGGCTCGGCTTGTCTTCTTTTTCTCCTGTTTGACCACTTTGGAAGTCTGTTCTCTTACTTTCCCAACATGGGCCAGGAGACCATGGACTTTACCTCCAAGCGTGTGGCCAGCTACTTCCAGGGTGGTCAGAGCCTTCAGTCCACACTGATCTAGGGTAGCCTCGTCCTCTACGGGCATGCCTGCCAGAAGTGCGACTTGATCTTCTGAAGCGATGCCCTCCAGAGAGGCTACATGAGCCTTGATCTGAGCAACCGTCTGTCTCCTGTCTGGTGACCTTGAGGTGTATAGCTCCCAGGCACAGACAAAGAGCTGCATGTCTGTGACTGAACAGCCAGGGACATTTTTATCTCCTGTGATCCTCTGTGCCTCTTGGAAGGCTTCTATTGGAGAGGTTTAGTCATGTTCACATCTACTGGGCTATCTTTGCAGAAACTGGATGTAAGAAAGCTTGACCCTGACTTTCCTCTTAGTGTAGCAGTGGGATAAAGGAGTGGCCTCCTTCCTGGGATGTAATCACTTTTGATCTTTGTGGGGTTGGTATGAATATAGCTATGCTGCCAATTGGGGCTCGGACGCCTGTGGATGCAGTGCAGAAGAACATATGGCCCTGCCAGATAATCATAGCTAGCTAACCAACACTTTCTGTAGGTTTAGTTTACAAGCAGTGCCTGGCACTTAATAGGTCTATAAATGTTGAAAGAATAATCGTTCTATATACCTCAGATACCTCACAAAGCTCTAAGGGGTAGGAATTATCTCCGTGTTTTGGTGAGGGATATAAAGTTTGGAAAGAGATTCACCCAATTTATCCAAGATCACATAGTAAGTGGTGGAGCCAGGATGGGAATCTAAATTTGTTTGACTCCAAATCTGTCTCTGTAGCCTTGGAAACTTGTGGACGCTATCGTAGTCCAAGGTTTTGAGTAGCTGGAGAGTAGCAACTTTGGATTAGTGTCTCTTCTATTATCTTCTTTCTGTTCCTATTTGGCAGCCTGTATAAAACCTGTATTAAAAGTTAAAGTACTGGACCTGGGAGTCAGTAGACCTACCTGTCATACCCCTTCAATGGAATTTTCTGTAGTACTGGGCAAATCAGCATGTCTGATGAGCCTCTGTTATCTGTAAAATGGGAATATGGTAATTGCTTTCTCTGATATGCAATGGTGGTGATATAAAGATAAATTAGAAAGTGATTTTTAGGGGTGCCTGGCTGGCTCAGTGGAGCATGCAACTCTTTACCTCAGGGTTGTGAGTCTGAACCCCATGTTGGGTGTGGAGTCTACTTAAAAAATGATTTGTAAACTGCAAAACACTCTAAATAAAAGGATAATTCTTTGGCAAATCAGTGATTGTGCTTTAGGGTAAAATTTTCATAATGACTCTTAACCTTTCGCTTTCAGTCATTCATTCAGCAACAAATATCAATGGGGCCTTTTATTCTGCATTGGACATTATTTTAGTTTGTGGGGATACAAACATGAGGGAAAAAAGCCAAACCCTATCCTCAAAAAGCTTATTTAATGGAAAAGAAAACAAAGGTGATATATTGTTACCAATACCATACTGGAGTGTGAAGAAGCTACCCTGGGATCCTTAATGTGGAGCCTTAATGCCTAGGTAAGTCAGGGGAGAATTTTGCAGTAAATGGGACCTACAGGAAGAGGAGTTTGTCCAGAAAAAAAGAGGGTAGAATATAACTAAGGGAGTAGGGAAAGGAGGAAGGCGGAAAAGCTATTTATTTTCAGAAACCATGGATAGTTTGCTTTGGTTAAGTGTACAGGGCCAGGAAAAGTGTGGTAGGAGATACAGTAAAGAGACCCAAGCTCAGATCGGGTTTGGAAGAGCTTTGTTGTGTTAAGAAGTTGACAGTATCTCTCAATAGAGACCACTGAAAGAGAGCAGGGAAGTGACATCATCAGTTATCTGGGTGAGAAAGCTCACCATGAAGGCTGGGAGACCAGGCAAAGGAAATAAATGCCTGAACTAGGGCATTAGAAATGGGGAAGGGCAGGAGAAAGATTTTTTTAAAGATAGTCAATAGGACTTGAATTTGATCCAAATACCAAGAGGACCTGGTGTCTGATTACAGGTAGTATGTGGATGGGAAGGAATGGAGTATTAATCCCAGATTTTCAGCTTGGGTGCTATTCATGGGTAAAGAACACAGGGGCACTTGGGTGGCTCAGTCAGTTAAGCTTCCAACTTCGGCTCAGGTCATGATCTCATGGTTTGTGAGTCTGAGCCCTGCATCGGGCTCTCTGCTGTCATCACAGAGCCTGCTTTGGATCCTCTGTCCCCCCCAGCCCCCCTATGCTCTTTGTCTCTTTCTCTCAAAAATAAAGTTGGGACGCCTGGGTGTCTTGGTTAAGCATCCGACTTCGGCTCAGATCATGATCTCGCCGTTCGTGGGTTTGAGCCCTGCGTCAGGCTTTGTGCTGATAGCTCAGAGCCTGGAGCCTGCTTCAGATTCTGTGTCTCCCTCTCTCTCTGCCCCTCCCCAGCTTGCACTCTCTCTTTCTGTCAAAAATAAATACACATTACAAAAAATTAAAAACAGTAAACTTAAAAAAAATCTTAAAAAATAAGAATACACAGGCACCAACATGTATGGGGTTGAGGTGGAGGACTCTGTTGCATAAGGAGAGATGATTAAGTTCCTATCTGGGCATACACAATTTGAGATATCTGTGGGATGATTAGGTGGAGATGTCTTTTAGGTGGTACCTTATTCTAACTGGAGTTCGAGAGAGAGGTTTCTGAGTTAGAAACAGATTGGCATGTAGGTAGTAATTGAATTTTATTTATTAGTTGGCTCAGGGAGGAAGAGAAATGAGAAGAGTAGAGGAAGGGGTCATACATGATCGAGTCAGAGAACACTAGATCTACATATTCACTCTCACTATAGTTCCTCTGCCATGTGTCTGTCTACTTTGCTGCTTTGGAGCTTCAGTTCCTCATATACAATGGGAAGAATAATACAATCTGTTTTATAGGAAATTGTGAAGATTGAGATCAGATAGGCCATATATATTGAACCACCACTCTATCCTTGGTACAGAGAAAATTTTTTCTTACCTTCTGAGATTACATGTGTACACATACACACACCTACACCCACAGATCACACATAGGTGAGTGAGAGCAAGTGTGTCTTTGCTAGGTACATAGGCACTGAAGCCCTTTCACATGAATTAACTCCTTTAATCTTCACAATGCAATAGAGTGAGTGGATGTTGTCATTGGTAAAGAAAGCAGGGTGGTTAAAAGTTTAGATTTGAGTCAGACTGCCTGGTTTCAAATCTTCCCATTTTTACAACAGTTATTAAGTAGGTGGGTAGTAGGTACATGGATAGGAAGCAGCAGAGTTTGGATTAAAACCCAGGCCATCTGAGTACGTGTATTTGGCTCTAGGACGGTTCCTCCTGGTGCCAAGTCTTTTGGCTGCAGGGAAGGGGTTTTGGGATTACTTCTTTCGTCACTATTCTGAACTTTCCATGATTGACTTTTGTCCCTCCCTGGGAGTGGCTGATCTTTGGGAGGCAAATCTACTCATACTAATTTCTTAGAATGTTTCAATCTTTCTGGCCTAACATTCAGTTTAATAAGTATTTCAATCACCTTATCTTCAAAGGTTGCATAATTTTTATTTTCCTATTTGTATCATGATTTATTTAGGCAGGACTAAGTCTTTAATGAATTTCGCTACTCTCAGCCCCTGGCCAGCACTTCGCCTCGTACTTAGTATGCACTCAATAAATGCTCTAAGTATGAATGAACTAAAGAACCGCGGAACGGAGACGCAGATGGGGGTCAGACTGGAAGTTCCAAAGTTCGGGAGGGGACACGGGGGCGGGCAGTGACTGTCACATGACCAGGCGGGGCAAATCTTCTGTGCTCCGCGGCGCCGGGCGTAGCTCCTCCCTCTGCGCCGGTCACGTGGGGGCGCCGGCTGCGCCTGCGGAGAAGCGGTGGCCGCCGAGCGGGATCTGTGCGGGGAGCCGGAAATGGTTGTGGACTACGTCTGTGCGGCTGCGTGGGGCTCGGCCGCGCGGACTGAAGGAGACTGAAGGTAAAGCCGCCATGTCCGGGCCCGACCCGGCCCCCCCACCCCCTCCCCCCGCATCCGCCGCCATCCGGGCCGGGACCGGCCACCCTGCGCCGCCGCCCCGGCGCCCTGGCCCCGCGGCCCAAGCCCGGGCCCCGGCCCGCCAGGGCCCGATCCCTGGCCCACGTGTGCCCGGCCTGGCCCGGCCTGGCTGCTGGGTGGGGGTGGGGGAGCGCAGGGCCGGAATATGCGGTCCCCGCTGGCTGGGAGGGCGCCGGGTTCGCCGGCCGCGAAGTGCCACCTCGGTCTGACCCGAGGGGGCCCCGCGGGCGCAGGCACCGCGGCTCCCGGCCCGCCGCCCCCTCCCCCCTTTGCGGCCCGGCCGCCGGGAAGTGACACGTTGTTCTTTGGCACTGGCCGGCGCTGCGCAGGGAGGGCGCAGGGGAGGGAGGCGGCAGCGGCGGGCAGGGAGGAGCCCCCGGCCCCGCCCGCCCTCCGGGCCGACCCTCACTTACTAGAAACCGGCTCCTCTTCGGCCGCCGCCCGCCTGGCCTTTTACGGCCCGACTCCCGCCCTTCCTGGTCTCCACTCCTGGGCGGCGGCAGGCCTCGCGTCTGGCCCCGCGCGGGTGCCCCTGCGGCCACCCGCAGCAGGCGTGCCTTGTGTGCCCCTGGGCCTGGCCCCGAACCCGGTGTCCCCAGGTGGGGGGTGGGGACACCACGGCCGAAGCTGCTAGCTCCATTTGTGATCCGGGAGCCTGGTGCCAGCGAGACCTGGAATTTCCGGTCTGGTTGGTCTTGGGCCCCGCGGAGCCAGGTTGATACCCCTCACCTCCCAACCCCAGGCCCTCGGATGCCCAGAACCTGTAGGCCGCACCGTGGACTTATTCTTAACCGAGGGGGTGAGTGAGGGGGCTGTTTCAGCAGATCAGGGGGGTGGTTGGAGGTGATGCTGGTTTGACAACGTGTTGGTGGGGACATAAGCTGGATCTTTTCTGCTCTTTCAACCCCTTCGCGCCTCCGGGACTCGGTGTGGAACCCGGCCCTTGCTTCACCCCCTCCCCCCACTCCATTTGCCTTAAGCTTGGGTCCCTTCTCCTTTCCGAGCTCCACTCTTTCCCAACAGGTGCTGGGGGGACCCTGATGTGGCACCAAATGAAATGAACAAAGCTCCACAGCCCACAGGCCCCCCACCTGCCCCATCCCCTGGACTCCCACAGGTAATTAGGGAGGAATTAGCAGAGACTGGGGTGGGGGTGGGGGAGACCAGGCAGCTGGTCAGGAACAGGTTCCAACCTCTGGATTTTCCCACCCCCAT